TCGATGTTACTGGGGTCACCCTCTGGGGCTACGCCTTCTCCCCTCCTCTCAGCATTGCTCTCAGGAGCAGACGGGGAGCCCCAGTTCCATTTGGGACATGGGACTGGCTGTGTGGGTGGCCTTCAGGTGTGACACTGCGCGTTTGCAGGCCTTGCCTCGGAGCGTGTTGCTAGGCTGGTGCGAGGGGCCTCAGCATGGAGCTCTCTGTGCCTCTTACAGGCTGTGTGACCTTGAGCAAGTCACTTAACCTCCCCGAAGCTGCTACAAAGTGCTGAGGTGAAAAGGGAAGACTGTGGATTCTGGCTACTGTCTTTTGTGTCCCCGCCTCCCCCACGCTTTATCTTAGTCTGTTCGGGCGGCTGTTATAACAAAGTACCACGGACTGGGGGGCTCATAACCAACAGAATTGATTTCCCCTCATTCCGGAGGCTGCAAGTCTAAGATCAGGGCGCCCTCATGGGCAGGTGCTGTGTCCTGTGAGAGCCGCTTTCCACCTTCCAGCTGTGTCCTCACATGGCGGAAAGGCAGGGGAGCTCCCGAGGGTCTCTCTTATGAAGACGCTGACCCCATTCAGAAGAATGTCTCCCTCATGATCACCCCCAGAGGCCCTACCCCCTAATACCTCACCCTGGGCGTTGGGATTTCAGCAAGTGAATTTTGGGGCGGGGTGTGGGGGGACATGACATTCAGAGCAGCGCACACTGCTTAATAACTTATGTCCTTTAGTGCCGCCTTTTAAGTGTGTGTGTGTGTGTGTGTGTGTGTGTGTGTGTCTGTTTTGTTTTTATTGATCTCAGAGAGCACATGTGTCAAACACAAGGCCCGCGGGCCAAATCCGTCCCGCCAGGCCTTGCAATGTGGCCCGCACCGCGCTGTCATCACTGCACTCCGCTGCGTTTCCATCACAATGACAGTTTATGACTGTTCAGTAAACCATTCGGCCCGCAATTTAGGCTGGATTTTAGATTTTGGCCCCTTCTCTGATTGAGTTCGACACCCCTATCAGAGAGGAAGAGAGAGGCAGAGAGAGCTAGAAACACCAATGGTGAGAGAGAATCATTGATTGGCTGCCTCCTGCACGCCCCCTCCTGGGGATTGAGCCTGTAACCCGGGCCTGTGTCCTGACTGGGAATCGAACCCTGACCTCCTGGCTCATAGGTTGATGCTCAACCACTTCGCCTTGGTGGCCGGGTAGTGCCACCTTCTGTTGAGCAGTTATCAGTGTGCTGTCATTTTATTTGACATGTATAAGCAACTGTCTTGGACTCTTAATGAAAATTTTACAAAGAGAAAGACAGTTCTTTGGCAGTCCCAGATGTTATGATTTTCTTTATGGAATGGACTATATTGTTATTTTAGAAAATATTGAATCATTGAGCCCGTTATTTGATTTCAACCAGAGTTCTAGGGGATTGGAAAGGGAGAACATTCCCCAGCGAACCTCGCAGACCTGGAGGGAGCTCCCCCGGCCTCGGAGGCGGGGATGGGAGCGGAGCCCCTCGGGAGGCGGGGCGGCCTGAGCTCCGTGGAGCATGTCTCGCCCATGCGTGAGCCTGTGGACCTCCTGGGCCGCTCCGAGTAGGGTCCGCCTGTGGCTTCGGGGGCAGGGGCGTCCAATGCAGACTTGAGAACTGGGAGATGGGGGCTGGAACCCCGGCTCTGCCACATCTTAGCGTGTCATCATGGGCCATTTAGGTGCTCTCTCTGAGCCTCCATTTTCTCATTAGGAAATCTGAGGTGCGGCTTGCTTTGTAAAGCCATGGAGGGGTTAAAGGAGGTGACACCCGGGAAGCCCACAGCAAGGCCCTAATACCTAGCGGATTCTTGATCCACTGAACTATTTCCATAGCCCAGTGGTCGGCAAACTCATTAGTCAGCAAAACCAAATATCAACAGCACAACGATTGACATTTCTTTGGAGAGCCACATTTTTTAAACTTAAACTTCTTCTAACGCCACTTCTTCAACATAGACTCGCCCAGGCCGTGGTATTTTGTGGAAGAGCCACACTTAAGGGGTCAAAGAGCCGCATGTAGCTCACGAGCTGTGATTTGCCGACCACGGCCATATACTATTGCCATAATCATATAATTTAAATAATGTATGCTATTATGCTGTTTATATAAGGTTATACGTACTTACATGATACATAATCTTTTATTATGTAAGGATATGTTCTGCAATAATAGAACTCTTTTGAAATGGCAGTATTTCACAGGTTCCTAGAACATTGAGATCATATTCTCTACTAGCTTGCCCACTTTTAAAAAATACACATATTTTTATTGATTTTAGAAGAGAGAGGGAGTCAGAAACATCAACAATGAGAGGGAATCATGGATCGGCTGCCTCCTGCACGCCCCCCACTGGGGATCGAGCCCGCCACCCAGGCATGCGCCCTGACCGGAATTAAACCTGGGACCCTTCAGTCCACAGGCCGATGCTCTGTCCACTGAGCCAGATGAGCTAGGGCGCTTGCCCACTTTGTAACAGGGGCCTCTCTTTCCCTTTCCTGCCCCCCAGACATCGCCTTCCGTAGCAGCAGAGTAGCTGAGCCCGGAAGGGGGGAGGTGCTGCCGAGGCAGGGCTGAGGGTCCCGGGCCCTCGCAGGCTCCCCCTCCAGCTCCCCCTCCAGCTCCTCCTGCTCACCACGTGGGGACACGCTCGGAATTGATTGAAAACAGCTGCTCGGGGCCAGGCTTCATTCTTCCTCAAGGTCTCAGAGCGCTTGGGTAGAGCTAAGGCCAGAGCCCACGCCTATGGCCTTGAAGTTGAACTTCTAGGCACCGTGCGGGTCTGGCGGTGGGGTGAAGGGCAGGCCTGTGACCCCTCTCCCTAATGGGAACTGCAGCCGCTCGCAGCGGAGAACCTGGTGCCGTGGGGCCTGCCGGCTCCATCCCTGGTTTCCTGCTGGCTGCGCCCGGCTCTGCAGCCGCCCAGGCCAGAGGGAACCACACACGTTACCAGCTGGCTGACCGGCTCAGCGTCTCCCTGCGGCCGGCCCGTGCTGGGTGTCTGAGACTGTGTGACTGGCGTTGATTTTTCCAGCAGTTGAAACAGTTTTGTTTAAGGCGGTTGAGCTTTCATTTCTCTGTCCGGGTGTCAGTGTCGGGGCGATCCATTTGCTGTCTTCGCTGTGGAGGGGTCGGCAGACCTGCTTCCCAGGGGCTGTGGCCGTTGCCTTGCGGAGAAGTCAGACTTCTCTGGCCTTGGGGCTTTTTTTGTCTGGAAATGCTGTAACCCCCTTCTCCAGACTCCCTCAGCCTCTGTGGGCTGTGGTTTGTGACATCAATGAGCCGCATTGGGAAGCCTTTGATCAGAAGATGAATACAAGGAGACATTATTATGTAAATGAGTCTAGATCTCCCCCCCCCCCCCCACCAGAAAAGTCAGGCCACTTCCTCGCAGATGTGAGATGGATGGCCTTTGCTGCTGTCTCGCCTCAGACTCCCGGCTCTCCATAGAATAGCTCAAGTGGAAAAACACATGGCCGGGCATGCTGGGGTTTGGGGGTGTCACCATTTAATGTGTGGGGTCCCCTGGTGCGCCTGCATCCGCTCCGCGTGGAGAGGCCTCGGAGCAGGCCCGGCGCGGGGTGATTTGTAACCGATGGCAGCCGCGCTGCTGCGAGCCCAGGGCTTCCAGGGGGAGGAAGCTTCCTGCTCCGCCATTTGTCCTTCTCCGGTTCCAAGGGCGCTGACAGCTCGGCTCAGCCCGGTGCCGAGTTCTGCCTGAGCCGTGACGCACGTGGCCAGGAATTTGTTAATGATAATAGAGCACCGGGCTGGTGAATTATTGACTCCTTCTCCCAGGAGTGGGAGACCCGCATCGTCCTCAGAGCAGGAATGACCACACAGACAAGCCCCGCCGGGCCTGGGTCCGGCGGCCCTTCCTCCCGTCTCCGCCCGAAGGGAGAAACATTGTAGTGTCCGCGAGACGCAGGAAGCGGAGGGTTACAGAGGCGAGGTGCCCAGGGCCCCACTGGGGAGCCGGAGTGTCGCTTCTCCTCCCCGAGGGCCATGTTAGGGAGTCTGGGTGGCCGTTGGGGTCCAGGTTTTCATGGACGTGGGGCAACCACTCAGAGCCAGACTGCGCGGTGGTGGGGCAGCACAGCTCCGGCCTTCCAGAGGAGCACACCCATTTCAGGTCCAAGCCTGGGGGCTCCTACCACTCGAGACTTTGGTGTGGAGGACGTGACAGAGGACGTGCCGCCAGCCTCATGCACTCGGGCGGGAGGGCGGCCAGAAGGCAGGAAGGGTGAGAAGGAAAGAAGGATGGAGAGAGGGAAGGGAAGGTGGGTGAGAAGGAAGGAAGGAAAGGAAGAAGGATGGATGGATGGATGAGAAGGAAAGAAGGATGGAGAGGAGGAAGGGAAGGTGGGTGAGAAGGAAGGAAGGAAAGGAAGAAGGATGGATGGATGAGAAGGAAAGAAGGATGGAGAGGAGGAAGGGAAGGTGGGAGAGAAGGAAGAAGGAAGGAAGTGTGAATGCATGGAAGGAAGGAAGGGTGGAGGGTGTTTGGATTAAAGGTAAGAATCGAGGAGTTGAGTAGAAGAGAGAGAGAGTGATAACTTAGAACCAAGATGACATTAAGAAAGAGGTACATGGGGAAGACATAGAGCTTCCAGCTTTGTGCAAGGGGCTATAATGACAGTTCCCTGCTCTCCGCTGTTTCCCACATACTCCCCGCACACAGAGCCCAGAGGGATGGGGTTAGGGCGCGCTTCTGACCGGGCGCTGGGGTAAGCGAGGAAGACAGACCCCCCTCTCAGAGAGGAGGCGGGCAGCCGCGGGCGGGTGCTCAGCTGACGCTCTCGCTGCCTTCCCGTTAGAGGCTCCCACGCGCAGGCTGTCCCACTGGGCTTGCACAGGGTCTCTCTCTTCCTTCGCCGGGACTCATTGGAACTGTTCTCCACCTCTCTGTGAAGCTTTCGAGTTTTTTATGTTCCATGGAATGGGACCGCCTCGCATGGAGTGACAGGAGTTTTCCCTTTTCACCAGGATTGACCGGAAGATGTCAAACACTCACACCACCTACAAGCTGGACGAGGCGCAGGCCATCATGAACGAGCTCCGCACCATCAGGAAGGCCATCTGCACAGGCGAGAAGGAGCGGCGGGACCTGATGCAGGTGGGAGTGTGCCCCTTGGCCCCCTCGTTGGGCTTGTCTTCGTTTAGAATTTCTAAAATATCATACTTATTACATGCACAGTCCATGTATATTCTAAGACATACACGTATGTACAGTAGCACTTATTCATGTATATCTCTTATGTGTGTGCACACATATGTATTTACAACAGTGCATGCCAGTTCCCCAAGACTGCCATCACAGAGGACTGCAAACCAGGTAGCTTAGGACCAAAGAGATCGATTCTCTCAGAATCTAGAGGCCACAGCCTGAAATCAAAGGGTTCGGCTGGGGTCGTTGTAGCTTCATGTTGCTGTTTCCTTGCAACTTCAGTTCTTGTCGTTCCTGTTTGAGAAAAAGCTGACTTTTTGCAACTAGATGCACGCTGGTCTTTCTGCTCCGCACAGGCAGGCACCTGCTGGTGACCGCCGCGCCAAAGGTGTCCTTAAACCAGCGGTCGCCAACCTTTGGGGCCTTGTGGACCACCGGGGGGCGACCGCGGATCTGAGCGGCTTTGTCTTTCTCATATGAGCTTAACCATGTCGGTCCCTCACTGGACGCCGCGGTCTAGACCCAGCGCCCGCTGCGTTAGACTGCCCCTGGGCACCTGGTGTCCGCAGAAAGCGTCTTTTAAGAAATTGTAGAAAGTCTGATTTCTCTAGGACGGGCACCCAAAGGGCTTCTGTCTGCCAGAACGCATGCCTCCTCTGAGCTTTGGCAAACTAGCGGATGTGTGAGGTGGCCTTTGACTACGCAGAAGTAGGATTGAAAAGGCAGGTTACAAAAAGGCGTAAATGTCACCTGGGAGCTGTGTGGCTTATGAAGACCTCAAGGTAGCAGCCATGTGAGACTCCTTTCCTGCTAGGCCATGGGGGATGCGAACCCTCCCCCCACTTCACTGACGTATAGTTCGCAAACCAAATGGTCTGAATTTAAGGTGTACAGTGTGAAGGTTTGCTACACATACATATTGTGAGTGATTACCGCCCTAAAGTTACAGCACCTCCTCCACCTCACAGAGTTAGCTGTGTGTGTGTGTGTGTGTGTGTGTGTGTGCATGCATGTGTGTGTGGTGAGGGCATTTAAGGTCTGTTCTCTTAGCCACATCCAGGCATACAGCACAGTTTTGTATACTGAGTCCCCTTGCTGTATACTGCGCATGTTAGAACTAGAAGTTTGTCCTCGTTGATGGACATCTCCCTATTTCCCCTCCTCCCAACCCCTGGCAGCCTCCATTCCGCTTTCTAGTTCTATGACTCTGAGCATTTGGGAGGGAATTTTTTTTTTTTTTTAAGGAAACAGTTTTGAAAAACAGTGAAAATGGTCCCCCAGTTGTTCTCTGTATCATTCACGCGCTACCAGAAGACTCGAGTGCTGTGTGACTCAGTCACTGAGAGTCGTATTGAAGGTGCACGTGCTGGACGTTTCTTTGAAAGCCGATGGGAACGGGGTGGGTGGTCAGCCCGCCGGCGGGGAGCCGCCGCTGGACCGGAGGGAGATGCCTGCTCTCAGAGGGAGAGGCGCACTCATCTGTTTAAGCGGCCCGTTCCCTCTGTTGCAGAGCCTGGCCAAGCTCACGGACGGCTTCAGGAACAACTTTTCTCTGGCCGATCCGCTGCACGAGGCCCCTCATCACCCCAGCGCACTGGGCAACTCCCACCAGTTCTGCGACGCCGGGTCTCAGACCGACATCATCGGGGAGGTAAGTCCCCGGAAGAATGGAGCAGGAAGGGCGGCTTTTGTTGGTCAGCTCCCATTGGTGTTCCTTTCCCCCTTCCTCCTCAGAGATTCTCTGGCTTTGTGCCATTCGATTTGAAGAGAAAATGTTTCTCACATCCAGCTGGGAGGGTTCCGTGGCCTGGGATGCAGTGACATTGCTTACTACCTCTATCTTTGTGAATCGGATTCTTAAAAATGGCAGAATCCTTTTGAGAGTTGAGTTTAGATGTCTCTTTGACAGACACGTGACTTTTTAGAGTATGGATCAGCTAACCTTTTCTGTATAAAGGTCAAGATAGGAAATATTTGAGGTCTTGCAAGCCATGTGGTCTCCACCACACCTACTCTGTGGTGGTGCTAAGCAAAAGCATCCATAGGTAATATGTAAACTAATGGGAGGGGCTATGTTCCAATAAAACTTTATTTACCCAAACAGGTGGCGGGCCGCATTGGGCCTTCGGGCCTTCGTTTGCTGATCTCTGGCTTAGACCAGTGAATCTCAAAGGCTTTGCGGCTGTGTCGCCTTGGGTTATATTTTGGTGCTCTTTCCTATTCTGAAAGAATGTCAGGAAATGAAGTTGAATTAAAATTTATTTTGTTTGGGACTTGAAAGAATTTCATACCCCTCCCCCCACTTTGATGATTAGTGAAACCTTGAGTTGGCCGCACAAATAAGTTGGCAGTCACATTGGAAGCCACTACTTAAGACAGTGCTGCTGGACTGTCATGGGTAAAGTGTGCCATTTGGTCCAAATGGGTAAACAGTTTGTTCCTTTGGGCTTGAAGATGAAATATCAACAGAATACAGATTGCCCCCTCCGTATGAAATAAAAAGAGAGAAAAGAAAGGGAAGAGCCATTGGCAAAAACCTCTGGGTTTTAAATGATTGGCTAATGATTTGAAATTGTAGCAGGTGGCGCTTCTTTGAGGGACTGCCTGTCAGTAATGATGACTCCTTTGCCTCGGGTGTCCTGGAATGGCCCTGTTTGATTATTCTCAAAAGTAGGACCAGATGTTGGAGGCCGGGGGCCCCTTTGGCTTAAGGAACATGGTCGCCAGGAGAAGACTGTAGGTCAGAAATGTTTGGCATGTTTTGCCTAAAGATTTGGCAGGAGGGAGGGAAAGAAGTGCAAGGCTCCGGATTCCGGGAATAGTTCGGTGCTGCTTATTGTGAGGTCGGAATTAGGAGAGGCTCTGAGCTGGGCTGGGGAAGCGGGCAGGTGGAAGGCTCTCTGGTGGCGCTCAGGGGTCGGGAGAGGCTGGCCATGCTGTTGCGCTGACCCGGTGCGGCCACTGAGGCGGTGACTGGCTGCCTGGGTTGGCAGCTTCCTGGCCCTTATCTCCATGTAAGTGGTTGCTTTCCTCCCCTGTGACGGGAGAGGAGATCGAGGTGCCAGGTTATCCGAGGCCATGCAGCCAGGGAGAGGCGAGCATGAGTTTGAATCAACATCTCTGATCGCTAATGCCTGTGCTTTCCGCTACCTCGTGTTGTTACAGAAAAGTGCAGTTTGCCCTTGAACAACGCAGGTTTGAACTGCACTTACATGATGTGTATCGATCCCTTCATCACTAATCACTCAAGTAGAATACTTTCAAGTATTTGTTGACATGAGGTTATTAAAGAAAAAGCGTAATGGCCATACTATATGGCAGTGGTTCTCCACCTTCCCAATGCCGCAGCCCTTTAATATAGTTCCTCATGTTGCGGTGACCCCCAGCCATAAAAATTATTTTCGTTGCTACTTCATAACTGTCATTTTGCTACTGTTATGAATCGTGATGTAAATCTCTGTTTTCCGATGGTCTTAGGTGACCCTGCTAGCGGTTCTCAACCTGTGGGTCGATTCATAACAGTAGCAACATTACAGTTATGAAGTAGCAACGAAAGTAATGTTATGGTTGGGGTCACCACAACATGAGGAGCTGCATTAAAGGGCCGTGGCACTGGGAAGGTGGAGGACCACTGCTCTATGGTCTAACAGGGGTCTTCAAACTACGGCCCGCAGGCCACATGTGGCCCGCAGAGGAGTCTGATCTGGCCCGCCAGGTTTTTTGGGCAGTGAGCGCAGCCGAGGTGTTACAGTAGGAATTAGTAGTTCATATAGTCCGGCCCTCCAGCTCCCTGAGGGACCGTGATCTGGCCCCCACTTTAAAAAGTTTGAGGACCCCTGGAATAGGTCAGGGCTGCAGATGGAGGAGATTTATTGAAACCAAGTCGTGTGTTTCCGGGACAAAGGAGACGTCACCAAGCAGCTAGTCACCTCCCCACCAATCGCTCTTCCCTTCCGCTCAGGGCTTTACTCCTTCAGTGCAATCCGTGGGGGATCCTTAGGCGCAGCCCGTGGTCGGCAGAGCTTAGCATTTCAGGTCTGACTCCTAAGGCGGTGCGCAGTCTCGGCCATGGAACATCCGGTCCTGGTCCCTGCGCCACACAGCTGTCTGTCACCTTAGCTCTGGTGACCTCCTAGGAGAACATCATTCGTGTTTGTTAAGAAATGAGAGAATAATGGGAGAAGGAGACATACGCAGTATGTTAAACAATAAAGAATCCAAATAAAAGAAATAAGTAAAAGAGAGAATATACTGCCCCATATGAGCTGAATGTTTTGCCTTTGTATCAGTTTTTAAGTTGTCCCGTATTTCTTTTCTTTTTTTCTTTTTTAAAAAAAATATATTTTATTGATTTTACACAGAGAGGAATTGAGAGGGACAGAGAGTTAGAAACGTTGATGAGAGAGAAACATCGACCAGCTGCCTCTTGCACACCCCCATTGGGGATGTGCCCGAAACCAAGGTACATGCTCTTGACCGGAATCGAACCCGGGACCCTTCAGTCCGCAGGCCGACGCTCTATCCACTGAGCCAAACCGGTCCCGGCCCTTATTTCTTTTAAAACCAAGCTGCTGTTTAGAATCACACAACAGTTGAATACGCTTTCATTGTTTAAAAAATGGTCACCAGCGTTGGGAAAGCAAGTCTCCCAGCCCCCTCCCCCTCCCTCTCCCAGCTCCTGTGCATGGTGGCTGCTGGCTGGGGTTCGAGGTATTTCCTTCCAGGCCTTTGGGAAATGGGAACTGAAAGATGAATCAAGATAGCCTTTGTCGTTGAAAGTTGAAATGAATTGTCTATTTTAAAAACATGTCTCTAATATGCTTCTCCCCCCCCCCCCCCCCCCGCCTTGGCAGTTTGTCTTCGACGATAAAACCAGACTTGTGGACCGCGTGCGGCTGAACTGGCAGTACGAGGAGGCCAGGAAGAGGTAGGCCCTCTGCCCATCCCGCCCGCTGCCCCCTTCCCCCCAGAAGCATTCCCACGGGGACCGCCCGCTTACCTGGAAAGCAGAGGCTGACAGAGTGAAATATCTTCATTTATGTGTGGCTTCTGAATACGTAGACCAGAGTTCACGTGCATTTAAAACGGTGAAATTCTCCACATTGCCAATAGGTACGAAGATATGCTTTAGTAAAAATACAGACTTTTTCAGGTCCTCTCGGGTAGTTCAGACCTTTCTGCCTCCCTCCCACCCTCTCCTCCCTCCCCCTTCCTTTTCCTCATCCCTCCTTTCACCTGAGCAGCAGCCCCTCAGCCCAGGTTAAGCAAAATGCTTTTATCTCTTAATATGTGGCTTCTGACCCTCTTTGGCCCCTTGAGGGTGGCTCTTCCACAAAATACCACGGCCTGGGCGAGTCTATGTTGAAGAAGTGGCGTTAGAAGAAGTTTACGTTTAAAAAAATGTGGCTCTCCAAAGACATTTCAATCGTTGTCCTGTTGATATTTGGCTCTGGTGACGAATGAGTTTGCCGACCACTGCTATAGGTTAATGGGAGAAGTCGCACATTGGGGCTGAAAGCGGCTCAGTAAGGATCAGGTCCCCAGGTGCTAGCAGGACCCACCCAGCTCAATGGGACGGAGAGAAGGGACACAGGCGCTGCTGTTCACCTGAGTCGTGTAACACCTGTTCCTGCACATTGAGGCTTGACCTTGTTAGTGAATTTCCAAGGTCGTCTTTCCTCCCAGCCTTCACCCTGGGGGCAGGGGCACGGGCAGAATGGAGAGGCTGTGTGTAGTCGCCTTCAGCACGGGATTTAGGGTGTCACCACACCCCTGCAGGGTCCCTGCTTCCAATGCTGACCCTGCCCTAGCTGGCATGTCCTCATTTTAGAATCTCTCTCTCTCTTCATTCTGAAAAGTCTTAAAACCAAATATTTTCGAAACATGTGCTTCGGAAAAGCTCTAAAGCGTATCTTTGTAAAGTTTCCTCTTGTTGCATAAGAACCGTTATCTTGGGGGGCGGGAGAGGAGTGGCGTGCCTGTGGGGTGCAGGTCCTCTCCGGAAGCCCGGCGTTGGGGTTGGGCCTGCTCCGTATACTGTATCATTCATGATGTCTGCAAACGCGCTTTGTTGCCTTTTTACAAAATGCAAAAATAGCAACAAAAGCGGATCATCTGACCCCCGCTGGAGGCCGGCTGGGCTGACACGGGCCTTTGTTTGCTGCCCGGGTGCTCGCCCGCGCTCCCCGTCTTCCGGGCGCTCCCCGAGGTGTTGGTGGGGGGCTCCCCCTTCCTGCGTGGAGCGTGGCCAAGCCGGGGCGGCCGCAGGCTGACCTGGGCGCCCCGATTGCCCGTGGCGGCTCGGCCCTCCTCCGAGCTGCGGGGCTTGGCCAGGGGACCGGCCCTCCGAGCGCCCGCCTGCCGCCCCCGTCCCGCTGGAGCCGCACGTGGGTGCGGAATGTGCTGTGCTGTGCAGACGCAGAAACATGGTGGCTGCTGCACTCAGGAGCATGATTGTTACGTGTTTTGCTGTGACATTTACCAAACAGCAAGTGGCATCTTTGTTTGCCAGAGATGGCATGCGGAGACGGCGCTTTGGGTAAAAAGCTGAGCGTTTGGGAGAAGAACTCCGGAGGACGCCGCCCTTCCTCGGTGTCTGTCCGCCAAGAGCAGGGTTTCGGGATCGCAGGGACCTGGCCAAAGGCACTGCTCTGGAGCGGGCTCCTGTCCCAGCTGTCTTTTCTCTAAAATGTATATTTTATTGATTTCAGAGGGGAAGGAGAGGGGGAGAGAGAGAAACATCCATGAGAGAGAATCATGGATGCCCCCTGCACGCCCCCTACTGGGGATGGAGCCCTCAACCCGGGGCTATGCCCTGAGCAGGAATTGAACCGTGACCTCCTGGTTCCTAGGTCAGTGCTCAGCCACTGAGCCGCACCGGCCGGGCTTGTCCCCAGCAGCATTCCCACCTTTGTGGGCAGCAGGGGCTGCTCAGAAAGGCCTTTTGGGCCGCACTGGCAGCATTTGACAAGCAGGGGTGCGGAGCACGGGGGCGGTACATCTTGGCTGCGGTGCGCAGCCCCCAGGGATGCTGTTCCCCGCCCCACGCTGCACAGGACGCCCCACACCGAGGATGGTCTCCCCGCATGGCGCCGGGCCCAGGCTGAGCACCCCTGCTCTGTGCTGCAGGATTGCGCATCTTAGCGGGGCCACCCCCATGTGATTTCCTGCAGCTGGCCTGTGTGGGTGACCCCGTAGCTCCCCCTATAGAGATACTGCTGGGAACCTGAGAGATCGTACTTCCGCTCGGCACCTGCCTGCTCCTGGTGTTTTGGAGAAATGTATTCTTGTGTGGTGCGATCACGTGAGGCCTTTAACCTGTTCAATTCCTTCACAACTAATGGAAATACGGAGCAGGGATACCCTGGTTGTGTATGGGTGGGTGTGCACACAAACACATGCACGAACACACCCCAGGGTGTATGTGCATGCTTGAACACACACAGCACATTCGTGTTTACATATACATGCACATATGCACGTGCACTTTTCTTATTTTTATCACATACATTGTACATGCATACACTGCTTTTGTCAAAGGCACCATCAAAAGAGACACACCCCTTGCGCCTGTTGCACCCGCCTTCCCCTGTTGGTGGCTGGTGCGGGCCTTGAGGGCTTCCACGCAGACATTGGAATGAGCTAAGACGTAGGGAGCGTGCCGCACAGCCTCTGTGGCGTTATAAGCATCCTCCCTGACAGGCAGCTCAATGGTTGCCGTTTTCCCCTTTCACAAGCAGATCCGTCTGTTAACAGGCCAACCTTGCGATGATGTCTGGGTCTAGAGACATGTGTATTGAAAGTTTGAAAAGATGTCACCAGCCCTAGCCGGTTTGGCTCAGTGGGTAGAGCATCAGCCTGCAGACTGAAGGGTCTCAGGTTCGATCCTAATCAAGGGCACATGCCTGAGTTTTGGGCTCGACCCCCGGTAGGGGGTGTGTAGGAGGCAGCAGATCCATGATTTTTTCTCATCACTGATGTTTCTCTCTCTCTCCCTCTCCCTTCCTCTCTGAAATCAATTCAAAAAATTTTTTTTTTAATTTATGGCGTTGTGGACAACAAGGGGTTTCATATGTATTTGAACTGAAAGGATGTTAGTGGAAGTGGAACTCATAATTGCAGATGGTAGTATTATTTCTAGAGACTTCTCCAGACCAAACCACCCGTGTCATGACTAGTTTTGTGTTTTCCACTCCGGTCACGTGAGATGTGTCTAAGTGCCTCGTCCTTCCCCTTCAGGAGCGCTGCCTTGGGCCTTATTATAGGGATGTTGGTTAAAATTTATTGAGTAGAAATGTTGGAATTCGTCGAGGCCAGCTTGGAAGAGCAGGTCCTCTGGAAGCAATGTGGATGACGCAGACGGCTCCTTATTTTTAACCTAAGAGCACTTGTTCCAGAACTGTGCACAAACTGTAGCTGTTGCCATAGAAACACGCGCAGTCCCGATAGGAACAAAACATTCGGCCCATCCAGCTTCGCTGTCTTAGTGCCTGTTGCCAGGATGGTTCCTGCTGTTCGTCCGTTGTCAGGAGTGAGTGTGGTGTTAGGATTCCAGGGGAATTGGATCAGTCGCTGGGATTTTTCTTCATTTCTCAAGTGACTGTGTCTCTGGGTTTGGGGGGTGGAGCTTGGCTGTGAGAAACAAAGGCAGGCGTCCCTCACGCTGTAGCTCCCTCCTCTCCATTCAGGCCGAGAAGGAGGCCTGCTTTCCCTTTAAAGACGTGGCTCTGAGGATCTGTCAATCAAATGGCAAAGACGAGAGGGCAGGGAGGATGCTGGGCTATCCTTATCGCACATTCTAGATCAGGCTCTGGCCTTCCCAGTGTAGACTAGAGAGTTGAGCCGAGAGGAACTGGCTTGTCGATATTTAGTTCAATAGGCTCAAGTATTCTCATTGTTCATTTAGATCTCAGGTGAGATTTTCTGGAATGCTTGCTCTTCATTTAAATGGATATTTACCAAAAGGAAACGGAGGAGGGTCAACTTAAGGAGCCTCAGGTCCGTGGCTGTGATTGACATCTGATGGCCGAGGCCGGGCTGATGGCGCTCCGTCATGTCACATCACGATCGCGTGGGACCGAGGCCTGCCTGGACCGCCGCTTCTCTCTAAAAGCAGCAGTGTGCTCAGGAGCTCCAGATGTGGGAGGTTACTCTGGACATGTCAGGGTGCCTCCCAGCTGTGCAATACAGAAAGTGCATTTTTTTTTCCTTGGAAAAATGCAAATCCCATTTAAGGTTTTCCTGTGAATGGTGAGGGTCTGAGTAGCATCTGCGGCCTAAACGCCGTTTCCAGTCATGGTTTCCTGGTGCCGGGGATAACCGAAAAGGTACTCGGGCCGAAATTAGGAGAGGAAAAGTGAGTCCTATTTCACTTGTGTCCACGTTAGACCTGTTCATGAACTTGGAGCCGCATAACCAATAGGAAACGGAATGCTTGACTGAGGATTGCCTCCCCTCTCTCCTCTGCTGTGAGCATAGGGACCCGGATTTAAAGTTTTAGAGGCACTGTGAGAGGCGATGCGCAGGCCATAGGCTGTATCACCTGTCCAAAGCGGGAATCCGTAAGAACACAGTTGACTTACAGGGAGAAAAAAAATCCTCGCCAATGTTAAGCTGCGCTCGGTTCTCTTTAAAAATGAACTTGGAGAAGTTTCCTTTTTGTAAACTTTCATCATGACCTCACTTTGCCTCCATGTATTTAATTTCACTGAAGCGGTTTTCAGAAGAGGCTTTCTGGAAAGTCTGTGCTGCGTTACCCAGAACTGGATGCTGCGCTCGCAGGAGGGTTCCGACCCGGGCCAGCTGCCTGGCCGCTGGGCAGGGCCATCGGGGCTGCGCAGCCGCGCTTGGCCCCGGGCAGGCAGGTCTGTCCCCTCCAGTCCCCCTGCCACCCTCACTGCTCCCGGGGCCGTCCGCCTCCGGGCCAGCAGCGCAGTAGACAAGGCAGATTGTTTGTAGGGCAAAGCCGTCTTGTCCGGCTCTTGGCGAGTGTACAGGGATCATCGAAGGAATCCTTCTAGAGCTCTTGGCTTCCAGGGCGGACAGACAGACACATGTGCCTCCTGACCTGGCTGAGAGCAGGTCCCAGCGGCTGCATCCAGAGCATGGATGAGGGGAGAGAAATGCAGCAGATGCCAGTATTCTGCTGGCCTCCCGCACGGCTCTGCGCTGGACACGCAGTCATTCGCATCATTGTGAGATGGAACTCGTTTTTGCAAAGCACGATCCTTTAGCGCAGACATGCTGGCCTGGTGTTCGGCACAGCCCAGACAGCTTTTCCAGATGTGCTGCAGGAAGTCAGCGCCATCCAGATTCTGTTTCTGCTCCCGGGTCGTCCCTCAGCGTGTGTCTCTGCGTGTCTTTCTCGCCAGCTGTGCAAGCTTACGGGGCCGTGCTGAGGTTGGGCCGCGGTCCTACTTGTGCGTCGCCCACAGTGGGCAGACCTTTTGAGATTTGCTCTTTGCCTCTCCTCCCTCATATAATTCCCCTTTTCTGCCTCGTTCTCTTTTCTGATGGTGGTGTTCCTTGAAGTCTTCTGGGAAAGAGTAGGATTATCTAGGCTTGCTTCTGCCACTCTCAGCAATGGGAATCCTTAAGCATGGCCGCTGACCTGGAGCTGACTCAAATGGAATATGTCTAGTTCAGGAGGAGCCCTGCTTGGTGCAAGGCTGGCCAGCACGTCGATGGGCGGTACCTGAAGGGAGCACAGGGTTGAGAAGGATCCTGAAGTCTGCATCCAGCAGCCAGGATGCCAGCTTTGAATAGTGACACAGGCCCCGGGCACGGGAGCTGGGAGTCTCGGGAGCATGCCCCATTCCCATTTTGGTGAGGATGGTCACATCGGTGTGGAACGCAGGCCCCTGCAAGCACTAAGGCCAGCGAACATCCTCCAGACCAGCCAGGCCGCCAGAAAGCAGAAGGTGCCAAACGTAAGCGGGCATCGCAGGCACCCGGAGGGCTTGTTCCAACGCAGATTGCCCCACCTTGTCCCTCAGAAGCCTGATGGGCACACGAATCCTGTGCTTTCTGAAGGCAGGTGTGGGCATTAGGCACTGCTGCGCAGGCAGGAGCTGGAAGGCCCGCCCCTGTGTCCAGTGGTCTCAGCGGGTGGCGATGGGGGCGGGCGGGGAAGAGCCAGCTGCCTCCTGCTCTGGGACAGGGCCACCCAGGAAACCCTAGTCCGAAACCACAGAGCACAGGGGTGTGGGGAGCACTGCAGCCTCCTGTCAGTTCTTTGACACGAGCCGAGGTGCCAGAGCAGGGAGATGATGCCAAGGACCCCACGTCACTGTCCTACACACCGCTCCCAGATTCCTCATTCCTGTGACTCAGGGTCACTCCGTGCGACCGGCCAGTGTTTACTCAGCGGAGTGAGTTTTTCACATCAGGGCCTGGTGCCGACAACGTGTGAAGACAGTTCGTAAGTTCGTGGATTTCTCCGTTTCCGTTTCTTGCAGAGTCTCAAATATCCAGCAGCAGCTGGCGCAGCTCGAGAACGAGTCGTGGCCCGGCATGGCCGAGGCCGACCGCGACCGGCTGCAGCTCATCAAGGAGAAGGAGGCACTGCTGCAGGAGCTGCAGCTCATCGTGCAGCAGAGCCGGCCGGCGGAGGACGCGGCCCGCCTGGAGGAGGAGCGGCGGCGCCTGGAGGAGGAGATCCAGCGCGCGCGGGCCACCTCCGTGCAGGGCGCCACCGAGAGGTGGGCTGGCCTCACCGTGCGGCGCAGGCCCGGTGCCAGTAAAGAACCAGTTTGCACAGCCAGGCTCTTGGTTGGGGCAGCTACTGCCAGGACCACCTCCTCCCCAAGCAGAGAAGGTGGAGGGGATGTGTGCCTCCTCTCTGTCCACCGCCCACCAGCCATCGAGCTTCTGCAGGGCATTGGGCACTGGTCAGAGCTCCGGCTGTGTATTTCTAGCCAGACAGGAGCAGTCTCCGTACTTGGGCATTTCTGACTTAGACGTGTTGAAAGGATTGAGCCATTCGAACTGAAATCACTGCGGGGAATTTATAGTTGAATTTCTAGTGAGGAAAATGTACTCGCTGTCTTTGAAATCCACCAATGGACTGTCCTCTTACCTACAGGATTCTACTTCAGGAGAAAAGAAATTGCCTACTCATGCAGCTGGAAGAAGCTACTCGCTTAGCATCCTATCTGCAGTCCCAGTTAAAAAGGTAGGCGCCTTGAACAGAGAAAGCTGCACTTCATTAGCAAGTTAAAAAGGTAGGTGCCTTTAAAAGAGGAAGCTACACTTCATTAGCATGTTGAAGGTGGGCACCTTTAAAAGAGAAAGCTATCCTTCACTGCCATGTTATGAATGCCATGTTATGATATGTCCGTGAACTTCACAGTTCCTTTCAGCTTGGTTTTCTCCTCCAGAACTTAAAACCGGAAAGGGTGTAAACACAGACGGAAAAGTGGGTACACTGTATTTTTAAGAGGAGCTGCTAATACATGATTCAAGGCATAGGACCGAACTTGGCTGCAGAATAACAAGTCTGAAGTCGAGTATCTCCAAGGGTTTTGTAATTCCCAGCTTTAGGGATGTGTATGTCCATCTTACAAACATGCACACGGCCCTTGTTATTTTAGCTTTTTTTAAAAAAATGGTTATGGTTATTTTTTTTGGTTATGGGTATTTAAAATATGACCTGGAAGCTCAATCATAGGTCTGGTTTCCAAGTCCTCGCTATGTTGGGAAGGCGATGGGAAGGCTTTCTGTGTGTGCTTTTCTGTTATTCCTCGAGAGAATGCCAGGAGGTAGGAACTGTTCCGTCACAGCCCCCAGGAGAGAGCGTGAGCTGGCCACGTGGACTCTGCTAGCCCGCCTTGCAGCTGGACCTGGAACCCAGGCTTGACTCCCGCCGACCCCCGAGGAGACAGGGCATATCCCCGCAGGGTCTCCCTCCCCGCCTCCCCCACCCCGGGCTGTGCGCAGGTGTTAAAGGTCACGCTGTGGTCCACGGCAGAACAAGGCAGGCCCTGTTCCCTCGGAGCAGACTTTCCTAAGGGTGCAGGCGCTCTCGTTTCAGCCTGTCCGCCAGCACCCTGACGGTGTCTTCCGGGAGCAGCCGGGGGTCCCTGGCCTCCAGCCGCGGCTCGCTGGCCTCCAGCCGGGGCTCCTTGAGCTCCATCAGCTTCACCGACATCTACGGCCTGCCCCAGTACGACAAGCCGGACGCCGCCGAGTGCAGCCAGCTTCTGCGCTTTGATCTGATCCCCTTCGACTCACTGGGACGGGACGCCCCCTTCTCCGAACCCCAGGTTCCCCCTGGCTTCCAAAAGCAGAGGCGCTCCCTGGACACGCCCCAGTCCCTGGCGTCCCTGTCCTCCCGCTCCTCCCTGTCCTCCCTGTCTCCCCCGAGCTCTCCCCTAGACACGCCCTTCCTCCCACCCTCTCGGGACTCCCCCTTGGCCCCACTGGGGGACAGTTTGGAGGTGCCAGGCCTGGGCACCCTAGACAGACTACGGGCCCAGGCTGTGGCTCTGGGAGAGGAAGACTTGCAGGGCGCAGCGGCCCTGCCACCGAATGCATTCCCTGGGGATGGGGAAGGACCTCGCGAGCGAGGACCCCAAGTGGCAGCCATCGCCACTGGCACACGTAAGTATGGACAAGTCCCGGGGGTTTCCCCAGCCCTGGGAGGAAGGCTTCTGACCCAGGGGAGGAATCCTGGGTAAGGGCACGAGGACAGCCAGCTTTAAGCTCAGGACCATTGAGAGGACGTGGAGGGGCGCAGGCTGCTGTCACGTGGGGCTTCCCGCTCTGTCCTGGCAAGGCCATCGAAATTGGCAAAAGAGTCTTGCCCAGGTGTTCGCCTTGTTGTCAGGATGTGCTGAATCGAGAAGAGCCACACAGTCTCCCACATTCAGAGGCAGATAGGTGCCGGGGGCCCAGCCAGCCATCCGGGGCGGGTCCAGGTGGGACAATGCCTGAGTGCCGCCTCAGGGAAATGTCTACTCCCCTTGTCTTTATGACTTCATCTCCTCATCCTGCGTCCTTGTAGTTAGTCTTCCAGGCTGTAGTTCTGTCGAGAGTGGGAGTGAAAATAACTGGCATAATTTCAAAAGCTGTGCCGGTGAGCATGTCATTTCTACCAGATCCATTTCTCTGGTGGAATTCAAACCGAGAAACGTAGCCACAGGGAGCTTCAGCCATCCAGTTGCTGGTAATTCAGCTTCTGGCAGGAGGTGCTGCTGGCAGCCAGTGGGCGGAATGCTGCTCAGCACGGCGGTGCAGTCCCCCCCCCCCCCCCCCCAATGGAGAGAGAGTGATCCAGCCCAGACGGCCGTAGTGCTGAGGCCAAGAAGTCCCAACCACAATACTGATGAGTAGTTCAGCAGCAAAGGGTAGAAATCAAATGTGAAGAACAAACCAGGCTGTGTCATGGGAACAGCCTCAGACTGGCAGCTCAGAGACCCTAGCTTCTGAGCCCTGCCTGTGGACTTGCCAGGTAGGTGTCTTTGAGCACATTCCTGGACGAGGCTGAGTCTTAGCTTCCCCGCCTTTGAATGAGGTGATCTTATGGGCTCTTCCGTTCACCACCATTCTACCTAGGAGTTTTTTTGCACATGACCATGCTGGTTACTATATATACATCTATATATATAAAAGCCCAAGCAACCAGCTGACCGGCCAACTGGCTGGTAACTATGATGTGTACTGACCACCAGGGGGCAGACATTCAACGCAGGAGCTGCTGAGCGACAGCCCGGGACCCCTCGGGGGATGCGGGACTGCTGGTTTCAGCCCAATCCCTGAAGGCCAGGCCGAGGGACTCCACCTGCCGGAGGGACCCCACTCACTCTGCAGATGCCCTTCCAGCCCCAGCACCACCCCAGGTGCGGCCAGCCGGGGAGGGACCATGGGAAATTGACTCCATGGTGTGTCTGGCCCTTCTCGCCCTGCCCCGCCCTGCCAGTCACCTTCTAATTGATTTCCTTTCCATGTGCACGAATCTGTACACCGGGCCTCTAGTATAAAATACCAGCCTCTGTTAACTCTTACATGTTTAACCAGCGACCTATTCTGTTCTGAAGCAGCCCGGGGTCATTTTGGCATCTATCATTTACCTTCCCCTCTGTGTTTGCAAACACACCTCTCCTGTCCCCAGATGCAGTTTCTGTCATTCACGTAAACAGGTGATCCCATTCGCTTTGTTCTTTATAACCACAGGTTCAGGGCCCCGTGTTTACTCCTTTCATTTCCAAAAGAAAATTCACAACAAGGACTGACGTGCACATCTGTTTCTGCTGAAGCTTGCTTTCTCAGTGCCCCTGCCTCCACACCAGCTCCTCTTTAAGGGCCGAGCTACGACAGTATCAGTCTCATTTTGCAGGGACCTGCACAAGGCCCAGGGGTCCTTCTGGGTCAAGGGAACGCCAGGGCAGGAAAGAGAAGAGCTGACTTAATTTCTGATTTCTTAGTTCTTCCTTTCCCCTTTGTGGCCTACCTTACAAGGCTTCAAGCTTAGACTCAAAGGTTCTTGCACATGCTGTGGTCAGATACTGCCACCTGGTGGTGTATTCTTGCATGACACTCAGTTGACAGATCCTTACAAACTAGAAATGAGGCCTGGACTGGGTAACCAGCTTCAGGCAAGGACACGGGGTGACTCCTTGCTTCCCTTTGGGCTTGTGGACATGCCCGATCCCAGAGTCATTGTCGCTTCTGTGCGAGGACCTTAGCACTCGTGCTGTTCTCCTGCCCTTCATTTCTGAAGCCCAAGGTCACATAGTTCCCTCTGACTTTCCGCTCCAGGCTCGCTAGGTACAGTCTCAGTTTGACCTCAAGCAAGTTTCAGTTAGATGAAATGTTAGGAAGATAAAGTTCAAAATTGCCCAAACCCACAAGGCAAGCCGGAGGATACACTATGTTCTGTTCGGTTTCGAAGTAGTTTGAAGGAACAAGATGGTACAGAGAAGTACGCAACAGATTGTAATCTGTAACATTTTCCACATTTTTGCTACAGTTTTATCTTCCCTGAGTTTCAGAAGTCCAATGTGTCATCATTTTGAAATACTTTCCATTTTTTCTTTCCTATTGGCATTTGCTAATCTAAACCCACGGACTCCTTGACTTGACTCATCTGTCCCCTGATACTTTTATTATATTCATACTCGGTTTTAAGATTGTTGGCCCCAATTCTGCAGTTTGTTCACTTTGTGCTCTTTTTTTATCTCTTTTCCTCATGCGACTCGCCAGAAGCGCTCACTGTAAGTGACCTTGGACTCCTTCACCTTGTTGGTCAGGCTGTGCACGTCTTCATCCGGGGAACCCATGTATCAGGGTGCTCGGGGTGGCCATGGGGCACAGCTCAAGTGGTACTTTCATGAAGTTCAGCAATTGCCATGATTATTGTTTCAGCATTGACAGCCATGCCTGCTAAAGTTGTGTAAGGAAGTACTTCTCTAAAAGCTTGAAGTCTTTATTCTTCTATATATTTCCCCCAGATTTTTTAAAAATACAATTCATATATATATATATATATATATATATGTGTGTGTGTGTGTGTGTGTGTGTGTGTGTATACACACACACATTTTTTGTTTTTTAAAATTGATTTCAGAGAGGAAGAATGAGAGAGAGGAAGAGAGAGAGGGAGAGAGAGAGAGAGAGAGAGAGGGAGAAACATCAGTGATGAGAATCATTGATCGGCTGCTTCCTGCATGCCCCCCACAGGACCGAGCCCATGACCTGGCTGGCCCTAACCAGGAATTGAACCCTGACCTCCTGGTTCATGGGTCGATGCTCAACCACTGAGCCACACCAGCTGGGCTCCCCAGGTTTTTAATGGCTTTCATTATTTCAATATGCTAAATGGCAGCTTTGCTCACAGCGTGATTTCCATTACATTTTCTTTTTGTCAAGCAGTGTTGATGTCCTTAGGTCTCAGTGTCTGTCTGTCTGTAATGATGAAAAGGTGAGATCTAGAGAACGGCTGTTTGGAAGATTGCTTATCCCTGACCTCACGGGCATCGCTCCCATGGCTCATCTCGCTGCGCATCTGTTGCCTCGCAGCTGACAGCGGGCTGGCCCCACAGGAGGGGTCCGCTGTGCACTCTTTCACCCAGGCAACTGCTCGCCGCACTTCCTCCCGCCAGCTCTGCTCCCAGTGGCTCCAGGTTCAGGGGCTGAGCCTGGGGTCACTGAGGAGTAATGCCTTCATTTCCTTTGCTTCTTCACCCTCCTTGCAACGAGAGAGAAACTTGTCTGAGTTGCGCCATAGCGTTCCAGGAAGTGCTTATTGTGTAGCTTACTCCCTTAAAGCAGGGGTGGGGACGTCCGGCCCTCGGGCTGTATGAGGCCCCTGAAATCATCGGGCCTGGCCCTCCAAGGCATTCGGGGTGAGCTCATTCAGTGTCTGACCACCCGGAGCAGGCTCATGTGGAAGGGAATGATTTTGTAGGGCCCGAGAAGGATGTTACACATCTCCCCGTGGCCCTTGACAGGAAAAGGCTCCCCACCTCTGCCTCAAGGAACGGAAGGCCATGCCGGAGCCCTGCCGAGGATCAGGGCTGGGAGTGGAAATAGCAGTTTTTGTTTGCTGGGATCCTTGCATTAAACCAGAGGGTTCCATCCGTAATTCAGAGCTGGGGACTTTGTGTCCTTCCAGATGGCAGGGGTGACGGCGGGAGCTGGACCTGGGATTCCTGATCTCCAGTGTGAGCCAGTGGCTCCAGCCACCCCTGGCCTGGCCCCGGGGAGCCTTTGGAAGGCGCTCCCGCCTGCAGTGAGACTGGGACCAAGGACCAGGCCCCCGTTCTGTGTGCTGTTGACCATGGTTGGATTTGGTTGGCGCGTGAACAGTGCTTTGGTGGAAGAGGGAGATGGTCCCAGGTGAACCGTCATTTCCCTCGGGCTGGAGGTGGACAGCTGCCTGGGTTTTCAGTGTCCAGAGCCAGATGATGCGGAAAAGCATGGACGCAGAGGGCCGGCGCCGTTAGCAGGAGGCGTCCCCACGGCAGAGCGAGGCCCAGCGGGCCTGGGACAGGCTCACTCATGCGGCAGGAACATGATGGGCCTGTTTTTATTTTTGTTCTTTTTTAAAATATATTTTTGTTGATTTCATAGAGGAAGGGAGAGAGTAATAGAGACATCAGTGATGAGAGAGAATCATGGGTCAGCTGCCTCCTGCACGCCCCACACTGGGGATCAATGCTCTGACCGGGAATTGAACCGTGACCTCCTGGTTCATAGGTTGACGCTCAACCACTGAGCCATGCCGGCCGGGCTAATTGGTTTTGCTGAAAGGCACTTGGTGCTAAGAGGGAAGGACGAAGCCGTGGAGGAAATGGGGGGAGGGAAGATGCCGTGGTCCTGGTGGAAATAGATAGGAGACCAAAGAGACTGCCCAGGACGGTGTCCTAACCCCAGGACCTCGATCCTGGACGTAGAGCTGGGCTTCTGGGACGGAGGAGGTCACTGCAGCATGATGGCCAGGTTCAAGGGCACGTTTTCTAAGACCGAGTCCGCATCCTACAGTGTCCTCTGACTCCAAAGTCACTACCTTTCATTAGGGTTGATTTGGGTACTTTTTAAAAATGTTGTTTTCTGGTTATGAAATGCTAGCATCTGCTTATTGTATAAAATGTGGAAAGTACCCACAGCATGGAGAAGGAAGTGGAAAATGCGCACCGGCCGGCCAGGGCAGCCGCTGTCCGCGTCCGGGTGCATGTCCTCCTTGAGTGTGGCAGTCTCTCCAGTGCGATGCCAAGGGGCTCCAGCACCATCGCATGCCCGCTGCCCCCAGGAGGTGACAGAGACAACAGTTTAAGGAGCTGTCACAGAAGTAGCAAGAAGCCGATTGCTCCGCTTTTTCATTTAAAAACAAATTGGCAGTGTATTTAAACATGCACGTAGGGACGGCGTGTCTAGGATGCAGTGACTGTGTCTGGGCTGGCACTGAGGGTGCTTTCCTTGACACCATGGTGTGTGTGTCGTCCCCCCCCTCCCCCCCCCCCGTGCCCTCCTCACCCCGGTGGCTCTCTTTTGTAGCAGTGACTCTTCGGGAAGACGGCGCCAGGCGGCTGGAGAGGCGAGGGCGCCGCGTCTCGGCATGCCTGTCGGACTACTCCCTGGCCACTGACAGCGGCGTGTTCGAGCCTCCGGCCAAAAGGTGAGAAGCTGCACGGAGCCTTCCACATCCCGAGCCTCGGTGTTTGTTTTGTTCATCCTCACCCTAAGATATTTTCCCACTGATTTACTTTTTAAGAGAGAGGGGAGCCCTAACCGGTGTGGCCCAGTGGATAGAGCATTGGCCTTCGGACTGAAGGGTCCCAGGTTCGATTCTGGGCAAGGACATCTACCTTGGTTGCAGGCACATCCCCAGAGGGGAGTGTGCAGGAGGCATCTGGTGGATGTTTCTCTCCCATCGATGTTTCTAGCTCTCTCTCCCTCTCTCTCCCTTTTTGTAAAAAATCAATAAAATCTATTTTTTTTTAAAAAGAGAGAGGAAGGGAGAGAGGTAGTGGTAGTGACAGAGAAACATTAAATGAGAGAGAGGCATTGATCGAGCCTACAACTGAGGTACATGCCCTTGGCTGGAATCGAACCCGGGACCTTTCAGTCCCTGGGCTGGTGCTCTATCCTCTGAGCCACACTGGCCAGGGCTTATGTCGCAGTTTAATAAAAGCTGCTCTCAGTACCAAGCACCCTGGCCAGAGGGCTTGCACCAGCTGCACTCGGCAGTGCCTGGGCGGTAACCTGTGCCTCCGTTTGTGCTCAGGACCGAAGATGCCGAGGAGGCGGCCCAGGGGGACGCGCGCGCCGTGGAAGGGCCGCAGATCCACGTGGGGTACTGGTGAGTACAGTGGCTCCGTCCCGGCACCAGAGATGGGGGTCGCCAGGCCGCTCACCCCCACTCTCAGGCCAGGAGGATGGGGGGACCCTCGCGATCCCACCAGGGGCTGCTCACCGCCTGGATACCCCGAGCTGCTGCCGGTCCCGGTGAGGGACACAGGGCGGGAAGGAGACGGGGAAGAGCAGCACCGGGAGGCACAGCTGGGGTGGCACCTCTGCAGCGGGGCTCGGGGCCGTCACGCAGGGGCACCGGGAGCCCCCAGCAAGTGGGCTCTTGGGAGTGTGGCAGACAGCAGGCCTGCCCTGCTCCCCAGAGCGAGGGCCCAGCTGGTTTGCAGACGTGGCCTTTGGCTTCCAGTTGATTTCAGTAGCACTCAGGCTGGCAAGGCGGGGTGCAGGCCCCAGGCTCCCCGTGCTCGCTCTTGTCATTGCAGTTGAGTGTTTCTCAGCGCTGGCCCCGGTGACATCGGGGCCGGGTCCTTGGTTCTGGGGCCGTGCTGGGCGCTGGGGCAGCCCCCCAGCCAGGGCAGGGGAACTATCTGTAGCCATTGCACATGCCCCGCCGGGTGGGGGCAGCAGGATCGCCCTCCCTTGGGGCCGCCGCTGGGGTCACTCAGAGGCGTTCGTGCACCGGGGGGACGTGTGGCTCAGGAACGGCTGTTACTTTCCAGGCACGACAGCGGCAGCGAGTGCCTCCTGGTGAAGGTGCTGCAGCTGCGGAACCTGGCAGGGCTGGCCGCGAAGGAGGACTGCAAGATGTAAGGGCCCGGCCACAGGGGAAGCGGGGGCTGTCCGGAAAAGCCGCTGGCCGTTCTGGAAACGGTCTGCTTTGCTGCCAGAGGCGGATGAAGGTCACGGTGCTGGGCTGGCTGTGCCGCAGCGACACTAACCCAGGGCCCACTGCCCCTCGTTGGCCGCGTTTGGGCCTGAAACGTCCATCGGGGTCCCTGGGCTGGTGGTGACGAAGCCACGCTCGGCTCTGAGCTGATGAGGTGCCCCATGGTGGTGGCTGAGGGCCACCAGTGTTTGAGCCTTCCTGAGGGGACACAGCAGGACACCCCCCCCCCCCCCAACCAGGCCAGGTGGGCGGAGCCTCCGCTGACTCCTCTCAAGTCCTGGCTACTGGCTCGGAAGTCTTTCTCTCTTTAAAAAAAATATAATCTTATTGATTTCAGAGAGGAAGGGAGAGGGAGAGAGAGAGAGAGAAACATCAATGATGAGAGAGAATCATGGATTGGCTGCCTCCTGCACGCCCCCTACAGGGGATCGAGCCTGAAGCCCGGGCCTTTGCCCTGACCGGGAATCCAACTGTGACCTCCTGGTTCCTTCGACGCTCAACCACTGAGCCACACGGGCCCAGCTAAAGTCTTTCTCTTCGTGTGTGGCTTTTCCCTAACCTCCCAGGCATGTAAGTTCCCCCGGCTTCCTCTGAGCTGAGAGAAGGACTTTGTCTGGAACACCTGGCATTTCCATCCACGGGCGTCCAAAGATGGGGACACGTGGCTGCGTGAGTCGTCGGGCCCTCAGAAGCCTGACTCGGTGCTTCTCTTTCCTGCTTCCAGACACGTCCGTGTCTACCTGCCGTCGCTGGACTCCGGCACCCCAGACACTTACTGCTCCAAGGCTGTGGACTTCCAGGCGCCCCTGGTATTCAATGACGTGTTCAGAATCCCCGTGCACTCAAGCATGCTGACGCTGAAGTCCCTTCAGTTATATGTGTGTTCAGTGAACCCGCAGCTGCAGGAAGAACTGCTGGTATGGCCTGCGCATGTGCAAGCTCCCCTGCCCCCCCATCTTGTCTTCTCCCTTCCTTGCCTCCCTCCTTCCTTTGTTTTTCCATCATGCTTTCTTCCTTTGTCTGCCATTCTCCCTTCATCCCTCGTCCTTTGTTACTCTCTCTTCCTTCCTTAGTCTTTGTCTACCTTCCTTTCTTTGTCTCTGCTTTTCTCTCTCTCTGCTTTCTTTGTCTTTGTCACACTCTCTCCCTCCCTTCATTCCTTCCCCTCTCTCCCTCCCTTCTTTTCCTCTCTGTCTCCTCCTCCTGGTTTCCCATGATGGGTTGCTTAGAAATTGTCCTGTTAAGGGTCTCTGTAACTGGGAGGACAGAGAGGGACGGCAGACCAGCTGTGCTGTCACATGGTTTGTACTCTGAACACAGCCTCTCAAATAACACCTGCAGAGCTGTCTGACAGCTTTTCCGTTATCCCCGTTTTCCGTGGAGGGAGCTAAGTAGGGCTGGCAAATAAGGACATGGGAAGGGCGGTTAAATTTGGATTTCAAATCAACTCTAGATGCCTTTGGAGTCCGGGTGTGTTCTGTACAGGGTTTGGGACATACTGATTTTTTTTTTAAAAAAAAATGGTGCTTGTTTGCAATTCCAGTTCACCTGGATGCCCTATATTTTACCGGCAGCCTGCCGTCAGGCCCGGCCACCACTGCCCGCTCAGGGCCCGCGGCCAGAGTGCTCTGTCCACGGCCGGGATGTCGCCCTTTGTCCCTGGCCCCGAGGCGGCAGAATGAGTGGTTGTAGAGGTCAGCCGGACCTCTCTGGTTTCCGGGATCCCTGAGGTCATCAGCTGATTCACAAGCAGCTGACCCTGAGCCCGACCCAGCACTCCAGGGCGGCCATTCTCAGCTCCTGTTCCCCTTCTAGCTTTCTTAAAAAAAAAATCTGTTGATTTCAGAGAGGAAGGAAGAAAGAGAGAAACATCAATGATGAGAGAGAATCATGGCTCAGCTGCCTCCTGCACTCCCCCTACTGGGGATCGAGCCCACAACATGGAACCATGACCTCCTGGTTCATGGGTTGATGCTCAACCACTGAGCCACACCAGCCAGGCTTCCGGTGCTTTCTGATTGGGCTGAACAAGCAATGGAGGAGTTGTCCCTGTCCCCATTAGGGTCCTCTGAGTCTAACCTTTTTCATTGGTTGCAGCCCTTTGAATGGAGTGAACCATTTTACCTTCTCTCTGGTCAGGATTGGGGTGACCTGGATATTCTAGAAGATTCGTGTTGGCGTTTTAGTTGAGATCACTCACTGCCTGTTCTGTTTCTCGCACGGCGCAGGGCATCGCTCAGATTAACCTGGCCAGCTGCAGCGGCCCGAGTGAGATGCAGCTGCGCTGGTACGCCGTCCAGGTGTTCACCAGCCCCGAGCCGCCCCGGCCCAAGGAGAGCCAGCGGGCCGACAAGAGCGGGGCCCGGGAGCCGGTGCCCACCGCTGCCGCCGCCGCCGCTGCCGCGACTGCTGCGGCGGCCGCCGCCGGGAAGACGGTGCGTGTGCCTTGCTGTGGGCAGCCGCTCTGGTGCCCGGCTGGAGACGGGTGTTCCTGGGGAGGGCTTCAGAAACTGCAGCTTCCCGGGAAGTCATGGAAATGGAAGCTGCACTGTCATGTGCATAGCTACTCATGACAGTGTCTTTTTAATTGATTTTTAGAGAGAGGAAGGAAGAGGGGGAGAGAGAGTGGAACACCAATGATGAGAGAGAATCATGGATCGGCTGCCTCCTACACGTGCCCCTTCCCACCCCCCCCCCTCCCGGGGTTGAGCCTGCAATCCGGGCCTGTGACCTGACCGGGAATCGAACGCGTGAACTTCCGGTTCATGGATTGATGCTCAACCCCTGAGCCACGCTGGCCGGGCAGGATGGTGTTTTTTAACACGAACATGTTCATGGTGGTGAATGGCACGTGGGTAGTTTTTAAACGTGAGCCTTCAGTTACGGGAAGCCTGCTGCCAACACGGGGTGGACTTGTGGCCAGGGGGAGCAGCTGAGGGTGGCCACCAGCCGGGGGTAAGAGCCTCACTGTCGAGCTGAGCTGGCTCTCAGACATGCTCCTGCCTCTCCCCCCCCCCACCCCCCCCAGGACGCGGTGACGGTGCTGCTGGCCAGAACCACGGCCCAGCTGCAGGCGGTGGAGAGGGAGCTGGCGGAGGAGCGGGTGAAGCTGGAGTACACGGAGGAGATGGAGCGGAAGGAGGAGCAGACCGAGGCCCGGTCTGAGCGGTGAGCTCCGGGGAAGCAGCAGCGATACAGTCCAGTCCCTTTAAGGCTTTTAACAGCTGTATTGAGATAAAATCTACCTCCCGTACCATCCAGCCGTTTAAAGCGGACAATCGGTGGCTTTGAGGACAGCCACAATCAGTTTGCATAGGGACAGAAAGAAACCCCGCACCATTAGCAGTCAGCGGCCCTCCTTCCCCAGCCCCAGCAGCCTCTGATGCTCTGCTGGCTCTGCGGGTTTGCCCGTCTGGGCATTTCATCCCAGCGGAACCTCGTGCTGGCGCTCCCGCTGTGCCCGCCGCCTGCCCCGAGCCCTGGGCGCGGTACAGCGCCGGCTCAGAGGAGCCATCCGGATGCCCAGCAGCTCCAGTGACCTGGCTTCTGTCCCATCCTTCCCTGGGCTTCCCTCCCAGGGCTCCCCACCCAGAGCACCCTATTTCCAGGGCCTCCGCTTCTTCCGGCAGTTCTCCCTGGATCTGTCGAGAGGAACTGCTTTTACGGAGGGAGGGCGGTGTGTGGCTGAGGGGATCGCCCTGTTTGGGGCCAGGCAGGAAGCGGGGAGGGGCCTGGGAGGGGCTCCGGGGTTCTGGCATGTTCCCGGGGTGCAGTTGGTGATAAAGGCAGAGCCTCTGCACGGATGGCCTGTGGCGTTGTCTCCCCCGGAGGACCCAGCGCTCTCTTATAGGAAAGCCGCTGCCATGGTTAGAAGCCAGTCCTGGCGCCTCAGCTCCTGCGCCCTGAGGCGGCAGGGCCTGCCCTGGGTGAGCGGCCCGCGGGCTTTTGCCATGTCCCCATGTCTGCCTCTAGGAGCTGGCAGGCCGACTCGGTGGACAGCGGCTGCAGCAGCTACACCCAGACCAGCCCCCCGCACCCGGAGCCCTGCTGCAGCGGCGTGGACTCCATCCACGGACACCCGAGCGCGGGCCAGGCAGAGCCTTACCACCCCGAGAGGCGCCAGCCCCCGCCTCTGAAGGTAAGCAGGAGGGAACCCCCAGAGGCATGCACACAGCGGGCAGCGGGTGAAGCAGAGGGAATGGGTGGGGAGAGGGCCAAGGCAGTGGAAGCTGACAGGTTCAGACACAGAAGAATGACAGATGCGACTGACTGACAGACAACCATAGTGACCCTGACTGTGGGGAACGTGCTGCTTGGTTAGGGGCGATAGTTAGGGCAGGAGAGTGGGGACTTGGTGTTCAGTGGGGACAGCATTTCTGTTTGGGAAGATGGAAAGTTCTAGAGATCAGTTTCACAGTAATGTAAGGTGACCAGACGTCCCGCTTTTGGCAGGACAGTCCTGATTTTTAACAATTTGTCCCGCGTCGGGACTTTTTTAAAATGCCGCGGGATGCGGGACAAATTGTTAAAAATCAGGACTGTCCCGCCAAAAGCGGGACGTCTGGTCACCTTACAGTAATGGGAATATACACTGAGCGGCCAGATGATCATCTCTGAACGCATAAAAATCTGGCCACTCAGAGAGAGAGAGAGAGAGAGAGAGAGAGAGTGTGTGTGTGTGTGTATATTAGAGGCCCGGTGCATGAATTCAGGTGGGTCCAGCCAGCCTGACCAGGGGGAGGGGACCTGGGCGGTTGGCCAGCCTGCCTGCTGGTGGAACTCCCGGTCGAGGGGACCATTTGCATATGAGCCTTTTATTCTATAGGATAGACACGGAGTGGCCAGATTATTATGTGTTCAGAGATTGTAATCATCTGGCCACTCTGTGTATCTGACACTACTGCACTGTACACGGAGAAATGGTATGGTTTCTTCTGATGAAGGAGAAAGGAAGCCGTGGGGGCCTCCTGGAGGAGGCGGTCTTTGAGCGGAGGCCTTACCGGAGGCCGCAGCCTCGCGTAAGGTTGGGAAGGGTGTCGGGTAGAGGAAGTGCAGGCGCGGGCCTGGCCGGGTGGGAGGGGGGGGGGTTGAAGAGGGGACCTGAGCTGAGGACAGGAAGTGAGGGGACAGGTCATTCCCTTTTTTCCTGAGAGGGGAGACTGATGGATGGTTTGAGCCCAGGGACATGATCTGACTTCAGGTTTTTTTGTTGACTTTTTTCTAAAGTCATTTCTTGACATGAAATTCACATAAGATGAGACTATCAGCTAATCGGCATTAAGTATGTGCTCAGTGTTGTGCGGCCGCCATCTCTGTCTGCTTCCAACACACTTGTCACCTCAAATAGACTCCATACCCCTGGGCGTCACTCCCCACTCCCTCCCCCAGCCCCGGCAACACCAGTGAGCTTCCCGTCTCTGTGGGTCTGCCCGTTCCGGGTGGTTCGGTAAATGGAATCAGATGACATGTGTCCATTGGGTCTGGCTGTTCTCCCTCAGCCCGCTGCCTTCAGGGTTCATGCACAAGCACTTGTTTTGTCAGCGGAAAGAAGACGTGGACCTTTGCAGGTTTCAGAAGAGCCTTCTTTATGTGGGCCCAACTGAGGACGTGCCCGGGAGCAGAGCCCAAGGAACTGGGAACCTGTGCCCGGCTGTAGGCGAGCGAGTGGGGGCTTTTATAGGTCGGAGGACGCAGAGAGACGGCGACGTCAGCAGCTTCAGGAGTTCCATACGTTCAGGGAACAGCGCCCGGGAGGGAATGCACAGATAAGGGAGGGGCATCACGTGTGTGGACTCAGGGCGTCAGGGAGTCATGGGAATGGGTCTGGAAGCAATTATTCTGCATCCTTTATCAGGAGGTAGAGCACGGGGCCTCTTTCCACCACCATTTATCTCTGTAATTGGGGCTGTGAGGGAGTGGACGTGCCCAGCGCCACGGAAGGCCTGGCTCAGGAATGCGCCGTGTTCCCTTGGTTACCGAGCAGGTTGGGGCAGCTCAGCCGCCCTTTGCTTTCTCAGCGGCGAACTCCTGTGTTCAGTCTCTCGGGTACAGTCTTAGGAGAGGGGTGGCTGCGTCTGGCTTCAGTTTCAGCGGGACCCCCTGGGTGTTGAGAGGAGATTCAAGGGGGGCGGGCATGGAATCGGGGAGGTGGGTGAGACGCCTGCCGCACTAATCGGGCGCAAGACCACGGAGCCCCAGATGGAGGGTTGGTGACAGGTGGTCAGAACATGCGTAATCCTGAATATGGAGCCAAGAGGATTTCATCCTGGATCCGATACGGGGTGTGGGAGAGAGCAGGGCCCAGGAGGACAGAGACTTGCTGAAAATTTTAAATGTTTTATTAGGTTTTTACTAGAGGCCCAGTGCACAGATTCATGTGCCAGTAGGGTCCCTTAGGCCTGGCCTGTGCCCTCTCACAATCCGGGACTCCTCGGGGGATGTCAGAGTGCCAGTTTCCCCGCAGGCCAGGCTGAGGGACCCCACTGGTGCACGTGCACCGGGCCTCTAGTGTGCATGTAAGGTTTTGGTTAATCTCTTCCCACCCTCCCCCCTCCCTCCTTCTCTCTGAGATTCATCAGTCTGTCCCACGTTTCCATGCCTGTGTATTGAGTGTCTGCCCCTGGTGGTCAGTGTGTGTTATAGCTACCAGTTGAACGGTTGAACGGTTGCTTAGACTTTTATATATATAGATTGATTTCAGAGAGGAAGGGAGAGAGAGAGAAATAGAAACATCATTGACGAGAGAGAACCACTGATTGGCTGTCTCCTGCACGCCCCACACTGGGGACCAAGCTTGCACCTGGGCCTGTGCCCTGACCAGGAATGGAACCATGACCTCTTGGTTCAGAGGTCAACGTTCAACCCCTGAGTCACACGGGCCGGGTGACGCAGATACTCTTTTTGCATGAAAACGGGCAAATTGGGATCCTTGTCAGCGGAGGAGGGGCTGGCAGATGGCAGACATCCCGGGTTGGATGTGCGAAGTGTGAGAGCTCCAAGCAGAGAAGGCAAGGCCGTGGTTGTGCCTGCAAAGTTCACTGCCGTGTTCTAGAAACATCCTGTAATAAGCACTTTGCTGTCTAGGTGGACAAGGAAACCAACACGGAAGACCTGTTCCCGGAAGAGCTGGTGAGCCTGCCAAAGGAGCGGCCCGGCCGTAGGGCCCGCGCCTCGCCGTTCGTCCGCAGCGGCACGATCGTCCGCTCCCAGACCTTCTCGCCCGGGGCGCGGAGCCAGTACGTGTGCAGAGTAAGTACGAGTTCTTTGCCGCCCAACAGTTTTCTCCCCCTCCTCACCCCCCCACCCGGGTGTGTTTTAATTTTTACTTTTTATGCTAAACGACATAAGTGTTCTCACAGCTAATACCAGGAATGCACAGCATGCTTGTGTGCATGCGAATCCCTGCTGGTTTCATTTCCCCGTGCGCATCTAACGCATTTCTTCTGGATCCTAATACATTTCCCACCAGCCTCCGGGGCTGCGTATGCGCCCGTGCGCGGTCAGAGGCAGGCTAACTCATTGCTGCAGTCTAAGCCAGGGGTGGGGAACATCCGGCCCATAGGCTGTGTGAGGCCCGCAAAATCCCGTGGTCTGGCCCTGCCAAGGCCTTAGCGGTGATTACCAAATGTCTGGCCAAACAGAGTAGGCTCATGTTTAAGTTGGAGATGTTGTAGGGCTCCCGAATGATGTTATAAATGCCCCATGGCCCTTTGAGGGGGTAAGGGTCCGCAAGCTCATTCGTCATCAGAGCCAAACACCAACAGTACAACGATTGACATTTCTTTGGAGAGCCACATTTTTTAAACTACTTCTAACACCACCTCTTCAACACAGACTCGCCCAGGCCGTGGTATTTTGTGGAAGAGCCACACTCAAGAGGCCAAAGAGCCACATGTGGCTCATGAGCCGCAGTTTGCCGACCACGGGTCTAGGCTCTTGCAGACACTGGGGGGCAGATGCCAGCCTGCTCATCGGGAGGTGATGGAGCAGGAGACCCTTTACCCCCGGGGTGGGGCCTCTTCCGGCTCCTGCCTGCTCTGCGCCATGCTTGGGGGCACACGTTTACCCCCCCCCCCCCCCCCCCCCGTGCTTTCAGAGGCTCTGAACTCATACATGTGTCCTGTCGTGGGAGACATGGCACGCGCTGCCTGAGTATGTGGCGTTGGTGGGAGTGGACAGGCCAGAAGGCAAGGACCCCGCTTTCACAGTCACACACTGACCCCGAGAGAACCTGCCGCCAGATGAAACGCCCTAAAAGAGGCGTTCCTCCTTTTCTGTTTGGAGGCGGCCTATGGGGCTGGGGCCCTGAGAGAAGCCCCCTGTCCCCCAGGAACGAGCTGCAAGCCTCTTTCCCCAGATCCGGCCCAAACCAGCAGCGGGCCGATGACAGTGAGAGGAGTTCGGGAGGTGCAGTTGATGGCCACAAGGGAGGGCTGGGCGGAGGTGGGCGAGGCTTGCTCACTGGTTTTCTGTGGGGTTTTTGTCTTTCGTTTTACTTAAAAAGTCTTGTGTGGGTTTTGTTTTTACTGAGACCGGAGTCTTGGTGAAGCTAGACAGTGCCATGCGTTTGGTGCTGCGAGGAGGAAGGCAGCAGTCCAGGTCAGGCCCAGGGAGGGCTGCGGACCTGCAGAGGGAGCCTCTCTGAGCCAGCTTGTTTCTGCAGCTTTATCGCAGCGACAGCGACAGCTCCACGCTGCCCCGGAAGTCCCCCTTCGTCCGCAACACTCTGGAGAGACGGACCCTCCGCTACAAGCAGGTGTGTGCACGCCAGCTAACATGGAACCCCCACTTCCCGGGGTTCTTCTCACAGGCCTTCCGAGAGGCAGCCTTTCAGTCATCTCCATTAAGAGGTCACTTCTTTATTTCCTTGTTTACTTAGGTAAAAGATTTAAAAGTGTGATGATGTCAAAATGTTACCCATGTTTCTTAATTTCCCAAGATGATATCATGACCTAAGATGTAAGATAATTCATGTTCTTTACATTTTTTAAAAATATATTTTTATGGCCGAAACCAGTTTGGCTCAGCGGTAGAGCATCAGTCTGCGGACTGAAAGGTCCCGGGTTCAATTCCGGTCAAGGGCATGTACATTGGTTGTGGGCACATCCCCAGTAGGGGGTGTGCAGGAGGCAGCTGATCGATGTTTCTCTCTCATCGACGTTTCTGGCTCTCTATCTCTCTCCCTTCCTCTCTGTAAGAAAAATCAATAAAATACATTTAAAAAAATATTTTTATGGACTTCAGAGAGGAAGGGAGAGGGAGAAGGAGACAGAAACATCAATGAGGAAAGAGAATCATGGATCGGCTGCCTCCTGCACGCCCCCCACTGGGGATCAGCCTGCAACCCAGGCTTGTGCCCTGACCGGGAATCGAACCAGTTCATAGGTCAATGCTCAACCACTGAGCAACACGAGCTGGGCTCTGGGATTTTAAACAAACGCACTTGGATGGTTTATGACATGCTTCTCCCTTATGCAGTGCATGGTTAACATTCCATGTCAATAGTGTTTTAACTTTCTTCAATGGCTGCATTCTATGCTCACCTTGTAATTTAATAAGTTTCCTCACGTTATATATATTTAGTGTTGTTTTGTCCTGAATCTTAGTTGGATCACTTTTACACATCATCAGTCGTACCTTTCAAATGCAAGTGAAAATGAAATTTCAGAACGAGAGAAAATGCACGTTTTGGTTTTTGACATATACTGTGAAATAGCACTTTAGTATGATTTTGCCCATTTTTGATCCTGCCAGCCCCATAGGGGATGGTCTGTTTCTGCACATCCATCCATCATCATTACAGAAAAAAATTGGCTGTCACTAACTGGATATTGAACCAAGATTTAAATTAATCTCTCCCAAATCTATGTTGTGTTTGGTTTTGTAACACTGGGCCATGCGAAGACAGATACCTCTCTGATAACTCCACCCCATTGTCTCCTGTCTTGGGGGAAGAACCTTCTACAATAGAAGGCTCGAGTGCACTGGCCGCATGGCGCCCGCGTGCCTGGTCCGAGTGTGTGCTCACGGCCGTGTCTCCCGCAGGCCTGCAGGTCCTCCCTGGCCGAGCTCATGGCCCGCACATCCCTGGACCTGGAGCTGGACCTCCAGGCGTCCAAGACTCGGCAGAGGCAGCTGAACGAGGAGATCTGCACCCTCCGAGAGCTGAGGCAGCGCCTGGAGGACGCCCAGCTCCGGGGCCAGACCGACCTCCCGCACTGGGTGCTGCGGGACGAACGGTTCCGGAGCCTGCTGAAGGAGGCGGAGCGGCAGGTGAGCGCCGGGGCCAAACCCTCAGGCAGCCGGCCACGATCTCTCCTGGCAGCTGGACCTCTGTCCATGGGTTGTTCTGGGTCCCACGTCCCTGAGGAGCTGCCCTGAAGGTTCCCTGGGGGGAGCGGGGGCGGCGGGCCTTTCTCCTCTCTGAGCCCCAGAGCTGGAAGTGGCTCCATCCATTCTTCCTTAACACGGGAAGTAAACCTCTTGTGCATCCAATGTCGCCGCTCCAGACCAGACAGACCAAGCTTGACTTCCACCAAGAACAGGCAGCTGAGAAGATGCTGAAGAAGGCCTCCAAAGGGGTCTGCCAGCTGCGGGGGCAGAACCACAAGGAGCCCGTGCAGGTGCAGACTTTCAGGTAGGGGCACAGCTGCTTCCGCTCCCCGCTGTCCGGCCTCTGTCGTCATCAGCTGACGGATGTCCCGAAACCCCCTAAGACAGGGTTCCCCGTGCTGTTAGCATTTTCAGGTTTTCTTCTGCTAATTCTATTCTAGACACTTTTTTTCATGCTACTTATAGTAATAATGTGGGTTCAATTTTTTTAAAATTTCTTATTCTTTTTTAAAAATATGTTTTTATTGATTTCATAGAGGAAGGAAGAGGGGAGAGAGAGAGAGAGAGAAACATCAGTGATGAGAATCAGTGATTGGCTGCCTGCTTCTCTCCCCCTATTGGGGATCAAGCTCACAATCTGGACATGTGCCCTTGACTGGAATAGAACCCGGGCCCCTTCAGTCTACAGGCCGACACTCTATCCACTGAGCCAAACCGGCTAGGGCTCTTATTCTTTTTTTTAAAAAAATGCATTTTTATTGATTTCAGAGAGGAAGGGAGAGGGAGAAAGAGAGAAAAGCATCAATGATGAGAGTGAATCACTGATCGGCTGCCTCCTGCACGCCTCACACTGGGGATTGAGCCTGCAACCCGGGCATGTGCCCTGACCAGGAGTCAAACCGTGACCTCCTGGTTCCATAGGTCAACGCTTAACCACGGAGCCACGCCTGCCAGGCATGGTTCCATTTTGCATTTAGCTTTGTTTAAATTAGGGGTGTCGAACTCAATCAGAGAAGGGGCCAAAATCTAAAATCCAGCCTAAATCGCGGGCCGAATGGTTTACTGAACAGTCATAAACTGTCATTGTGATGGAAACGCAGCAGAGTGCAGTGATGACAGTGCGGTGCGGGCCACATTGCAAGGCCTGGCGGGACGGATTTGGCCCGCGGGCCTTGTGTTTGACACATGTGGTTTAAATGAAAATACCCCATGTTGCCATGCAATCCATTCCCTTTGTTGGCTATAGTAACTCATCTCATAGGTATAATTTGCCTGAATACCCCATTTTATAACCTGTTTCTAAATGTTTGCTATTATTAACACAGTGATTTACACACACACACACACACACACACACCCATATATATATATATATATATATATATATATATATATATATATATATATATGGAGCAGGCACTGTTCTAGGCGCTAGAGACAAACCCTTGCCCTCATAGTCCTTTGCAACTTCTATTAAAATTTAGGGACTCTAGCCTGGCTGGCGTGGCTCAGTGTTGAGCATCAACCCCTGAACCCAGAGGTCACCGGTTCAATTCCCGATCAGGGCGCATGCCCGGGGTGTGTGCTTGATCCCCAGTAGGGGGCGTGCAGGGGGCAGCTGATCCACGATTCTCTCTCATCGTGGATGTTTCTGTCTCCCTCTCCCTTCCTCTCTTTCTCAAAATAAAATCAATACTTTTTTTTTTTTTTTTTTTAAGTAGAGACTATGTACGAACAGACTTGTTGTTGGGTTTTCAATTCAGTTCGTTCTGTGACTAAGAGAAGCTCTCACTGGTATTGCGGGCCTCGTGGCAGGTCTGCTTGCATTTATATGGGCGTCTAACCTGGAACCTTTCCCGCCGCAGGGAGAAGATAGCGTTTTTTACCAGACCAAGGATTAACATACCTCCTCTGCCCGCCGATGATGTCTGATGTCATGCTTTGTACACACCAAGTATTTATCTTCCTGTTTTATTTTCATGAAGTTCTTAGACTAGCTGAAGTTGTCTTTAAAATATTTGTGCAAAGCTATTAATATACACATTTTGTAAAAAAAAAACACACATATATCTATACATATATATTTTATAATAGCGACGGCAACAGGGCTTGGTTTTTCCTTGTTGTGAAACTGACATCTCTGAAGACAAGTTATTTTATAAGAGATCAACTATCATGTTAAGAGTGTACAGTTTTTACGCTGTTTTATTTGATTTAAAGGCTGGAAGACAGAAACGAAGTGAGTTCAGGCAAATTCACTGTATTGTAACTTATTTATAGTACTTTTTTTCCTTGAAGGAAAATCCTGACTTTAAGATGTATTTTCAGGCTGAAACTGTGCTCTGCAGTATTTGTCACGCAGTAGAATGGAACTTGGGGCCGGGTTTGTTTCTGACACGGACATGCAAACACTCTGTGCTAACTCGTCACTCTACCAGCCCCTCTGTGTGCCTTGATTGTGTATATTGTCCACTGTCACACTCATGTGTCCCGTTGAGACCCCACCTGGGGCTCAGCCGCAGAGCCCCCGTTTCTGTGTTGTGTCAGCACACGGTTCTGTGCTCCCCCCGAGTTTGAAGCTTTGGAAGCGACCCTGGCTGGGGCCTGCCTGTCCCCAGCGGCTGCCCACACTGCCCTGCGCCGCCCCGGGCAGCCCGCCCCTCTGGTGCACCCCATCCGACCCTGACCTTGACCACCAGGAAGGCGGTGTGGGGCTCCCATTCTACTGCTCTGCCATGAAGGAAAGTGAAAGAGGCCTAGGAACGCGCTGTCACCAGCCAGTGACTCCGCCTAGGCGACAGCAGTCTGACCTCTGACTTGGGCTTGATCTCTGAAGGCGCTTTTCTGGGGAAGGGAGCGCATGCGCATGCGGTGACTGCTGTCACCCAGTGTAGTTCGCAGGAGAGGATGTGAGATATTTGATGGAGATCAGAATCCTTCCCCCAGTACTGGAATCTCCCCAATATTTCTTAAGCAATCTTAGAAGTAGTTCACGAGAAAATGTTTTATGTAAGAAGAATCCCATTATCCTTTTGAAATGCCAAATGACATAATATTTTGCCTGATGCATATTTATTGTATACGGAATGCACTCTCCCTTCTGAGCCTCAGAGAAGTGAGCGAGGTGGTCACACGGATTAGAGAAGGAAGCGGAACTATCTCTGCCTGGATTGCCTGCCCGCCCCCCCCCCCGGAAGTGCCCCCTTTAACCCACGTCCTTTCTTGTTAGTCTGTAATCGCCCCTTGTAGAGCCCCCTCCCCTTTTGCATTTATTAAAAGTGAATTTTGTAAAAGCATTTCATCGACACGCGACCTGTCACGGGCAACGGAAGTTGTCAGTGGTGGTAAGACTGAAGCTTTATGCTTTGCACCCTCCTCCTCTCTCGCTATGTATCTGTGCCTCGGCTCCTGCTGGTTTTTGTTGTGTTTTGTATTTTGGCTGATTTCTGTGTCCTTGCCCACAACGGAGAGACATGGCCCCTCCCTGCGCTGCTGAAACTCTCACCAACCACTGTCTGCCCCGGCCTCGGGGTGTGGGGCAGGCCACTGCCGCCTTGGGGTGCCCGGCTCCCTCACGTGGGGGAGTCCCCTGGCCGTGGCTCCCCGCGGGCCTGTGCGTTGAGGCCACTTTTCTGCTGCCCTCCCCCACCCCGCCTGGAGAGCCCGCTGCCCGCCTACAGCTCTCAAACCTCACCGCCCAGCGCCCACAGATTGGCATTCGGGGTGCCTTCCCACCCCAGGGCTTCACAGGAGCCCCAGAAGCAAGCGCAGGCCTACTGGTGTCTGTCTGAGGAGCACCCGGGGCCTCCCAGCCCCCCCTGTCCTGGCCCCAGAGGGCACAGCCAGCCGCAGCCCAGCGGGGCCAGGCAGGCGGACTCCATTCATTCAGGGACACTTCGTTCGACGCCACCCCCTCTCCCCCCTCCGCGTCAGAGAGCGAAGTCCTATCGTCTTAAGGGGTGTCTGCATCGTCTGTGCACCTGTCTGCGCGCCCCGGACACAGCACTGGGCCCCGTGCGGCAGTCCGGATCCAGACCCGGGCAAAGGGAACTCCATCTTCACCTGATCTGATCATGAAACTGTTACCTCCTGTTGTGGGACTAAGTTCTAATCAGTAGTCATCTCTGTTCTAATTGTGGCATTTGTATTGCTTGGAAGTATTTCTTCTATAAAAATTAAACTAATCTGCCTTAAGAACAAAGTGGAACTGTGCAATTTTTTTTTTTAAATACTGTAATGACGAAGACTTAACTATATAAAGATGTATATAATTTTCTCAACATACAAATAGAGGCATACAAATGGTGAAAGAGACACACACACAGCAATCCCTCCTGCCACACAGATCGGTCCTGGCTGCTCTCGCTTCGTCTCCCTCCCTCTGCCTCCCCTGTCCTTCCCCTGAATGACATCAGCTCCATCCTTCACGCCATTGCTCAGGGCTCATCTTCCCGGTGGTCTCTCTCACAGGTCATTCTCCTCTTAAAGTTTCTTAAAATTGATTTTATAGAGAGGAAGGGAGAGGGAGAAACATCGATGACTAGAGAGAACCATGGATCGGCTGCCTCCTGCATGCCCCCCACTGGGGACTGAGCCCACAACCTGGGCATGCACCCTGACCGGGAATCGAACTGGCAGCCCTTCCGTGCACAAGACGGAGCCCACCCACCAACTGAGCCACACTGCTCGGGGTGATCCTTTTTTTAAAAAACTAAAAGGAATCCAAATATGATCTGTTTATTGGGATTTTAAATCTTTGTGTATTTTGTAAACCCTTCACCCATTTCTCGCACCCCCTTTTCCCCCACCACTGGCAACCTTGGACCTGGCTTTCTTGGTGTCAGCTTGTCTGAGATCCTAGGAGAACCCACTTGCCAAACATTTCACCCCTTAAAGCACATAATCCAGCAGTTTTTAGTATGCGCAGAGCTGTGCACATATCACCGTTAATTCTGGAACTTTTTCATCATCCCCAAAAGGAACTCTGTACCCACTAGCAGTCACCCCGATTCTAGCCCTGACTGCAGCTGATCTGCCTACTGCCTGTGGTGTGCCTGTCCTGGATTTTCACATCAATGGAGTCACACGCCGTGTGGCCTTGTGCGTCTGGCTTCTCTCACTCGGCACCACGTTGTCCAGGGTCACCCATGCTGCGTGTGGCAGACCCCATGCCGCTTTGTTGCGGAATGATAGCGCTTTGTGGATCTGGCCCGCACTGTTCCCCCAGCTCCCAGCGGCTCTTGTGTGCTGTTAGGAATGCTGCTGCTGGGATCGCTCACGTCCGAGTTCTGGACAGATATTATCTCTCCTGTCAGAGCGGCCTGCCGGCCCCGCAGTCCCACTGGACATCGGGCTGTTGGAGGAGCTGCCAGGCTGGCAGCGGGCGGTGCTCCCAAGTGCTTCACGTTTTGGCCCCGGCTTGTTCAGTCACGCCCCTGACTGGGGACTGAGCCCACAACCCGGGCCTGTGCCCTGACCGGATTCAGACCCTGACCTCCTAGTTCCTAGGTTGAAGCTCAACCCCTGAGCCATGCCAGCCAGGCTCCCAGCATTATTTTTAATGTAAGCAGATACACAAGTATATATGCACATAGAATGCATGTCCACAGAAGTGGACACAATGCAGGTGAACACACATACACACATACCGTGTTTCCCCGAAAATCAGACATCCTCTGAAAATAAGACCTACTTACAGGTTTCCTTCTGAGTGAAATATAAGGCATCCCCCGAAAATAAGCCCCCCCCCCCCCCAGGCTAAACATGAGAGATTTGGTCCACTGATTCTGAAAGAAATGGAGTCACAGGAAATTCAGGAATTGGATTGTTATGATGATGTTCCAGAGGACAATGACATGATTGTCATTGAATAAATGAGTAAATTCTTGAGACTGTAGGATTCACAGTTTGTCTGGTTTGTGTTGACAACTACCGTACTACCGAACCGTGTACAGGTAATAAATTTCCTTTATTTTAATTGAACAATAAATGTGTACCGTATTCTTCTTCATGGAAAAATAAGACATCCCTGAAAAGAAGACCTAGCACATCTTTGGGAGCAAAAATTAATATAAGACACTGTCTTATTTTCGGGGAAACAGAGTCAGTACGCATCTGTTTGTGCTCCCCTCGCTCCGGTAACGGGCAGCACACCACCATACCTCTCTCCCCTGCCTTCTGTCAGAGGTGTGGCTCTGAGACCGCCAAAGCTGCATTGGCCGCTGCAACAAGGTACCACAAGCTTGGCTTAAAGCGACAGAAACTTCTCAACAGCCCCAGAGCCGGAAGTCTCCAAAATCAAGGCAACAGCAGCGCTGTGCTCCCCCGGAGTCTTGGGGGGCCCTTCCTGCTTCCTCCGGCTGCCAGGGTTGCATCCCCACCCCATCTTTTAAAAAAATTACATATAGTTGTATTATTTCAGAGAGGAAGAGGGAGAGAAAGAGAGAGAGAGAGAGAGAGAGAGAGAGAGAGAGAGAGAGAGAGAGAGAGAGAAACATCAATGATGAGAGAGCATCATGGATCAGCTGCCTCCTGTACACCCCCTACTGCGAACCAAGCCTGCATCTCGGGCCTGTGCCCTGACCGGGAATTGAACTGTGACCTCCTGGTTCATAGGTTGATGCTTAACTACTGAGCCACACTGCCTGGGGCCCACCCCGTCTTTAGAGGTCCCTGGCTTGCAGAGCCATCACTCCAACCTCAGCTCCCATCTTCACCTGCCCCCACCTCTGCTCTTGCTCTCCCGTCTGTTAGGAGAACACGTGTCATTGGACGTGGGGCCGCCAGTTAACCCAGGACGATCTCATCTGAAGACCTTTTCCTCTGCAAAGACTCTGTTTCCCAAACAGGGTCATGTTCACACATACCATCTGCCCTCTCGCTGCCTCGTCCATCCCATGTGCAAATTCCACTCACCACTCCCACCTCCCCGCAGGCTCCATTCTCTTCACCATTGACCTCTGCGTCAGTGGAGCTACCATAATGTAGTCCACCCTCTCTTGGCGGTTTTAGGCTTCTGTTATTAAAGAGAATTCAGTTCTGGCCGGCCACTCGGTGGTTAGAGTGTCAGCCCGTGCACTGAAGGGTCGCAGGTTCGAGTCCTGGGCAAGGGCACGTATCTGGGTTGCAGGTTCAATCCTCGGCCCTGGTCTGGATGCATGGGGGAGGCAACCAATTCATGTGCTTCATCTCTCTCACATGGATTTCTCTCTCCCTCCCTCCTCCTCCTCCTCCTCCTCCTCTCCGTCCCTCCCTCCCTCCTCCCTTCCACTCTCTCTAAAATTCAATGGAAAAGATATCCTCAGGTGAGGATTAACAAAAAATAAAAATTAAATTTAAAAAATTCAGCCCACCAGCATGGCTCAGTGGTTGAGTGTCGACCTATGAACCAGGAGGTCAGGATTTGATTGCCAATCAGGGCACGTGTCCGGGTTGGGGGTTCGATCCCCAGTGTAGGGCGTGCAGGAGGCAGCTGATCCATGATTCTCTCTTTTTTTAAAAAAAATATATTTTATTGATTTTGTACAGAGAGGAAGGGAGAGAGGTAGAGAGTTAGAAACATCGATGAGAGAGAGTCATCGATCAGCTGCCTCTTGCACACCCCCTACTGGGGATATGCCTGCAACCAAGGTACATGCCCTTGACCGGAATCGAACCCGGGACCCTTCAGTCCCCAAGCCGACGCTCTATCCATTGAGCCAAACCGGTCTTGGCTGATCCATGATTCTCTCTCATCATTGGTGTTTCTATCTGTCTCTCCCTCTCTTTTCCTCTCTGAAATCAATTATGTATATACTAGAGGGCCAGTGCACGGATTCATGCACCAGTGTGGTGGGGTCCCTCAGCCCGATCCCTGCAGGCTAGGCGAGGGACCCCACCGGTGCAAGAAACCATGCACCAGGCCTCTAGTATGCATATAAGACCTTTGGTTAATCTCTTGCCACCCTCCGCCCTCATCCCTTCCCTCTGAGATTCATCAGTCTGTTCCATGTTTCCATGCCTGTGCATTGAGCATCTGCTCCCTGGTGGTCAGTGCACATCATGGCTATTGGTTGAATGGTTGGAGGGTCTCTTAGGCTTTATGTATATATTAGGGGCCCAATGCATGAAAATTCGTGCAAAAGTAGGCCTTCCTTCTCCTGGCTATTGGCACCCAAGGTCCGGGCTGCTTTCCTCCTTCAGCCACTGGCAGGCACTGGGAACTTGGGCTGATGAAAATCTCTCTGTCTCTCTCTCTCTCTCATATTCACCACATCAAAGATATATCTTCATCAATTTCTATTTTCTTGAGTGCTTTTAACATGAATGAATGAATGAATGGATATTGGATTTTTTCAAGTTCCTTTTCCCCATCCACTGAGATGCTCGCATGACCTCCCTCGTTAACTTGGAAAACATGACTGATGATATTAACGGATTTCCCAGCAGGGAACCACCTTGCTTTTTGTAAAACAAACGCCCTTGGCCGTGGCCTGCAGGTCTGCATGTGCCCGCAGTGGTTGCTGGGGTTTCTCCCAGAGTTTTGCACGGATGCCCGGGTTTCTCAGGGCAGTGTCTGTGCGGGCGAGGAGCGGTGTGAACCATGGAACAGACGGGCCCTGTCCTCCGAGCCCGGGGCTCAGAGAGGATGCGTTTGGGACCTTAAAGCATTTCCGCTACTTCCTCTGTGGACTTTGAGCCTTTGGACTTGTCTCTTGAGGTGAGCTTGGGAAGTTGTATTTGTCTTAAAAATTATTCATGTCGTCTATGTTTTCCAATTGATGTGCAGAGAGCTGTACAGAGGAAGGTCTGGCAATGCCCTTTGCTGCTCTCCTGCCCTCGTCATTTCCAACCTTTGGCGCGTGTGTTTTCTCCCTGCTTCTGCCTTGATGGGGTTAGTTCCTGTTTTTTGTTTTTGTTTTTGACCTTTTCTTTTTCAAAGAGAACTGGCTTTTGGTTGTTAGTTCTATTTGTTTTTTATTTTATGCCTCATGAAATACTGTTTTGTTTTTATTATTTTTTTTCCTGTTTTTGTTTCTTAGTTGCCTTTTTATAGTTGTTTGAGTTGGTGTGTTTATTTTTCTTTTAAGCCACCTGAGTGCTATCAGTTTTTCTCTGCCGGTGAGTATGCTGAGTTTTCCTTTTGGTTATTCCCAAGGAATTCTATACTGTCCCTTCATACTTCCCCTTTGATCTAGGAGCTGTTTATTGACATGTCTTTGA